AGTTAAATAAAGTAAAGAAAAGTTATTTAAAAAGAAAGTCTATTAACGTTTTGTAGCTAACGCAAAAAACCAAATTTAAATTAAACCAAATTTAAAGTTCAGAAGTGGGATTGAATCAATGCCCTAAAGGGGAGTAATTAAACTATATATACGTAATGATGGTGACCATCGAATCACTGACGAAGGAACAGTTGAAGGATTTCTTACAACAGCAAGAGTTATTAACTACAGGTAATAAGGCGGAATTAGTTGCACGATTAACTGAACACTTGAAGTCAAGCGGGATAGTTTTGCAATTTACAAACGATAATGAGGAATTGCGGGGTGAAAATGAAGAATTTAGAAAACAAATTAGCGAACTGCGGCAAATGGTTCAACAAGTAGCCATTAACCAGAATAACGTTAGAAACACTCAAAACAGTACTTCAGAAATGCCTAGTAAGGACCGTAACGCGCATTCTATACGAGAAATCGCAGAAGTCTTGCCCGAACTCGACCCAACGAATGAAGATTCTATTACGGCTACGCAATTTGTCGAACGTGTCGAAGCTGTTATGTCTGTATATGCGTGGCCCGAAAAAAGTGTGCTTCTTGCAGTGTATAGCCGTTTGAAGGGTGTAGCGCGCATGTGGGTGGACGCATCACCAAGAATGCATGCTACTTGGAAGGAGTTCTCAAATGAGCTTGGCACCGAGTTCGGTTGCGAATACGATGAAGCGGATATACATTACAATATGTCGCGCGTTGCTCGAAGGCAAAACGTAACAATAACTGAGTCCATTTTTCGTGTCTCTGCGCTAGGACGACGTCAGAATCTTAGTGAGATGGCTATCACGAAATACGCTCGAGAAGGATTAAAACATCGAGAACTACAAATGGCGATTGCTCCGCTAAAATTCGTATCCGTTAAAGAAATGCGTGAAGCATGCGAGAACTTTTTACAAAATTGCATTAAGATAAACGAAAAGCCTTTTTATGATGCGGGTGAAAGCGAACAAAGAATACAATCGTTCAGTAAGGCAAGGAATGTTATGTGTTACAATTGTGGTGAGTCAGGGCACTTGTCAGTAAATTGTGCAAGACCCCCAAAACGTCCTCGTTATATAGATTGTAATAAGGTGCATCCCAAAAATGAACAGCAAAATTGCGGAAAACCATCAGCTTTTGGGCGAAAAACAAGTATTATCGACAATAAATTTCTTAAGAAAATAACGATTGGTAGCAAGCAAGCCATTGCATTTATTGATACTGGAAGCGAATGTAATATGGTCCGAGAAACATTTGCCAACGATATTGGTGGTACGCGCAGCAAAAACCTATTTACCATCGGTGGATTCGGTGGTGGTATAGAACGATCTGAGATACAAATCGACACGGACAAAGTAAAAACGACGTGTCAAATTAATAAACTTAGTCCAATAACGGAAGATGACGTGTGTATGGACACTATAAATTCAGACTCTAAGGGAAAGCTGTTAGAGGTGATGAATGAATTCCGAGAATGTTTCGCTACAGGTATGGATGGAATCGGCAAAACTAGTGTAGTCGAAATGAAAATTGAGTTAATGACCAACGAGGTGATCGTACAAGTCCCGTATAGAGTTCCGGAACCGAAAAAAGAAATCGTTGCGAAGAAAATTCAAGAGTTGCTCGACAATGATATTATAGCTCCGTCCGAATCAAGTTATGCGAGTCCAATGTTGCTTGTGAAGAAAAAGAATGGCGAACATCGACTTTGCGTGGACTACCGTCGGATTAATCGATTCACTCGAAAAGAATGCTACCCAATGCCCAATATCGAAGAAAGTTTACAAGAAGCAACGAAGTATCGAATCTATATATCGTTAGATCTTAACTGTGGTTATTATCAAATTCCTATAGAACGTAACAATCGTAAATATACTGCAGTAGTGGTTCCTGATGGTCTGTATGAGTTTAAACGGATGCCGTTCGGGCTGAAGAACGCACCAGTCCTGTTTCTACAATTGATGGCGAAAATTAAGACGCGCTTGAAACCCAGCGATATGATTCACTACATGGACGATATGCTTGTTGGCGGTAACGATGAAAAAGAACTTCTCGGAAAGTTTCAACGAATTTTAGGTGTAATAAAAGAATTTAATTTAACATTGAATTTAAAAAAATGCGAATTTCTGAAAGATACTATCCAATTCTTGGGACATCAGTTGGGACCCAACGGGATAACGCCGAGTGAAATCAAGACCGAAGCCATCCAAAATTTCAACATGCCTACAACGCAAATAGAGGTGCGGCGCTATTTAGGGTTAACGGGATATTTCCGTAAGTTTATACCAGGCTACGCAATTATATCCGAACCGTTGCGACAATTGCTTAAGAAAAACGCCGTCTTTAAATGGACAGATCAACAAACAAACGCCTTTGTGAGTCTAAATGAAGCACTAACAACCGGACCAGTATTAACGGGCTACCGAGTGAAAGCTGACCATCAAGTGCATACAGACGCGAGTGCCATCGGACTCGCAGGTGTTTTACTCCAAAATGAGAACGGAGATTGGAAGCCGGTGGCGTACTTTAATCGATCTATCACACCGCTGGAAAGGAAATATCACAGTTACGAATTAGAAACGCTTGCAGTTGTCGAATCTGTGGACCGCTTTAAATATTACATCTATGGAAAGCCGTTTACGGTCATTACCGATTGCAATGCTGTAAAATTGGCCATGCAAAAGCGAAAATGATACCCCGTATAGCCAGATGGTGGCTTCGTATCCAAGACTATGACCTCATCATCTAACAACGAAGCGAGCAACGAATGGCGCACGTCGACGCACTAAGTCGTATGCCTAACGAAGACGGTTGCGATCTTGCGGAAGCGACTTTTCGAGTCTGGAAGGCGGAAATAACTGAGGCAGATTGGCTTTACAGTATGCAATTACAAGATAGCAAACTTCAACAAGTCGTAATGAAAATTGAGGATAAGGATTCAGACATTATTAACGACTATAAAATAATTAACGGACGACTGTACGAACGGTATAAAAACCAACAGTTCTTCGTAATATCAAATGCTTTGCGATGGAAGGTGACACATGATGCACATGTTAAAACAGGACACTTAAGCGTTGACCGAACGATTGAATACTTACTACGGTCTATGTGGTTCGCTCGAATGCGAAACTTTGTCAAATTTTTTTGTGAAAGCGTGCATTGATTGTGCCTTCACTAAGCGTCGAGGAGGTAAAAAGGAAGGTGAGTTACATTGCAACAAAATGGAGCCTATTCCGTTCAAAACAATACACATTGACCACTTGGGACCTTTTCCTCAAAGCCGAAAGTTAAACGAGTATATCCTGATTATTGTGAACAGTTTCACAAAATTTGTCATCGTCAGACCAGTGAAAAGTACAAACACTAAACAAGTCATCGCCATTCTGAATGAAGTTACAAGTTTCGTTGGAACCCCTGAAACTATAATAAGTGATCGTGGTACCGCCTTTACGTCAAACGAATTCGAAAGATACTGTAACGATCAACAAATCAAACACATACGCAACGCAGTCCGTACGCCACGAGCCAATGGCCAAGTCGAACGATTTAATCGCACCGTTTTATCCATGCTGCAACCATCAACACAAGATGACCGAACCTGGGACGAGCAACTACGAAGCATTCAATTTACATTGAACTCACTGATTAGCCAAACGACTGGAAAATCTCCAAACGAATTGCTTTTTGGATTCAAGCCACGCGACATATTAGGTAACAAGCTGATCCAAATTCTCCAAGATGAAGACGATACTATTCCCATCACCCAAGAAGAACTCCACCGCCGACGATTACTTGCTGCTAATAACACCGATAGTAAACAGGTAAACGCGAAAAAGCGTTTCGACGATAAACACAGGAAACCAACGAAATATGAGCAAGGTGATTTAGTTCTAGCAGAACGAGAACCAGCATCCACAGGCACGTCCCGCAAACTTGAATGTCGATATAAAGGACCGTTCGTAGTCACCGAAGTTCTCGATAATGACCGTTATGTCATCGAAGACCTACCAGGATCCGATCGAAAACAACGACATTATAAATCAATCTATGCGTCTGATCTCCTAAAGCCATGGTGTCAATTGCCGTACGAAGAAGAAACTGATTCCGAGCGCGAGGACGCTTGACGTCAGGAAGGGCCGACTGTTAACCTACATCCGAAACGCACAACTGGGCAACTTAAAATTTTTAACAACATGTGGTCACCTAACCTATGTTTGACAGCGAATGACACAATCGAGTGAAGTAAGAATAACGGAAGTTCATTGGGAGCGTCCTGAATAAATATATTGTTTTAGTTAAATAAAGTAAAGAAAAGTTGTTTAAAAAGAAAGTCTATTAACGTTTTGTAGCTAACGCAAAAAACCAAATTTAAATTAAACCAAATTTAAATATGTATATATGTTTACTAACAATATGTAGTAAATAAAAAATATTTTGCATGGAGCATCTTTTCAGCTAACCCTCATTGTGTATCATTTGTTACTTGTTACTTTTTTTACCGATTTAAATTTTATTTTATTATGTAGAAACGAGTGGATAAAGCGCTTAGGAGTTAAAGGGACAAACAAAAATGTTGTAGTAATCATTTTTCGGCAAATATGATGTGTACAAGGAATTTAACAAAAAGCGCTGTTCCTGATCAAAATTTAGCTTTAAGTTATCTTAATTCTTTAAGCATTCAGGATGACAATGAAAGTGGTGTAGTTAATAAATCTATAAGTCCCCAAACTGTTTACATCTACATACACCTTCACTTGTGTTTTCTGAATAAAAATTCACATGATTTCATGTTATTATTATAAGAATATTTTTCAAAATTAACTACTATATCACAATTTTATTTTTTTATTAAGTAAAATGCTATAAATTTGTTTCTAATTTTGTTTTTAAATTTTAATTTTTTACATGTAAAAATATTATTTAATATTTATAATTAGCCAGTACAATTATCTAGTCCCAGATTTTAATATCATATTGAACATATTTTTAGTATATTACTCAAAAAAGACAATTTATTTTATTTAAATATTATTCCTTATGTACGCAAACAATAGATATTATTTTAAACAAATGCCTTTAATAAATTTGTATGTTTATTAAATTTGTCATATTCAACAATATTAATAATTATTTTAAATATATAAAGTTGGAAACTCTAGCCTGTAAGTAGTTTAAGTAAATATTGTATAATGTAAAATAATAAAGTTAGTTGATTAAGATAACTCAAACAAAACACTCGTATTACAAACAAAACAGTGGCGACGAGGATTATAAAAAAAAAAAATATTTACCTAAAATGGACGTAGCTGCTTTAAAGGAATTGCTTAAACAGCAACAAGAATCTACAAATAAAATGCTGGAGGATCAGCGAGCATTCTTCAAACAAATTTTATTACAACAGACTGCAGATGGACAGAGTGTTAATGTGCCTGCATTTCATGCTTTTAATAAGCAATTGCATAAGTGGGAGACATATCTGGAGCAACTGCATCAACATTTTTCGGCTTATTCCGTAAAAAAGGAGAGATTCAAGTCATTTTTTCTGACCTGGGTAGGCACAGAAACATATGATATATTACGCAGCAATTTTGGTGGTAGTGAAATGAAAAGCAATACATTCGAAGACTTGACACAATTCTTAACCGAATTTTTTCAAGCTAAAACACATGTAGTTGCTGCCAGACATGAGTTCCACAAAACAACAATGTCTACAAGCCAGACTTACAGAGAATGGATAACGGATTTACGAAAAATCGCTCGTGAGTGCAAATTTATTTGCAGCGCGCCAAAATGTGGACATGATTATACAGAAGAAATGATACGAGACAAAGTGATTGTACACACTCCACATGATGTTGTTCGTGTAAATGCACTGCAAAAATCTAATCCACCACTCTCTGAGGTGATGCTCATTGCTGAAGCTTTTGAAGCGACGGAGAAAACAATTAACAAAATTAAAGATAAAGTAATCAACGAAGGAGAAGTAAACGTCGTCAAAACTAAAGTAATGAATAAAACCAACAAATATAGTGAAAAGCAAAAAGCTCAACAAAAAATCATGCCAAAATCATGCTCAGGTTGTGGATCTTCACATAGGCGACAAAATTGTAAGTTTAGAAAAGCTGTGTGTAATAAGTGTGGAAAAAAGGGCATATTGCTTCTGTTTGTATGTCAGCTAATAATATTGTAAATAATTTAGAACAACAAAAAACAAGTGCACAAAATAATTTTATTTCACAAATAGATTCGGTTTTGAGTGTTAATAATTTACCGCATCAAGAAAATAAAAAAGTTTTTATTGACGTTTTAATAGATAATACTCAAATAAAATTTCAAATGGATTCAGGAGCAACTGTTTCGGTGTTGACACTAGATGCTTATGAACAATTAAACAAACCAAAGTTGTGTCCATGTAGAAAAGAATTATTTGATTACGGCAAGAACCGAGTAAAGACACTTGGAGAGTTTAGTGCAGAACTAAAGTGTGGTGAAACAAAGAGAACAGCAACTTTAGTGGTAGTATGCATTCGTAATGGACATAATTTATTTGGCACTGACCTTTTTGAAAAATTTGGATTTGAAATTCGCCAAATTGCCTCTATAAGCAATGATTCACAATTAACGGAATTATTAATGAGAAATAAAATTGTGTTTGAATCTAGTTTAGGTACAATTAAGCAGGTTAAAGCAAAAATACATTTAAAATTAGACGACGTGCCTAAATTTTGTAAAAGTCGACCTATTCCATTCGCTCAAATAAATCAATTTAAAATAGAAGCGCAACGCTTGACTGATAGTGGTATTTGGAGACCAATAAAATTTAGTGAGTGGGCTTCGCCAATTGTATTGGTTACAAAACCAGATGGCTCTCTTCGCATTTGCGGCGATTTCAAAACAACAGTGAACAAACAAATCGATGTCGATCAATATCCATTACCAACGCGAGAAAGCTTACTTCATATTGTCCGATATGGAAAATATTTTTCTAAAATCGACCTGAAGGATGCCTACCTGCAAATGGAGTTGGACGAAGAGGCAAAAAAGGTTTTAGTAGTCAATACACCACTAGGGCTTTTCCAATATCAGCGGCTTCCTTATGGAATTGCCAGCGCGCCTGCTATATTTCAAAAACATTTAGAGCAACTTATACTAGGTGTAGAAGGATGTGGTAATTATATTGATGATATAATCATCGCGGCTGAAACGGTGGACCTACATCGTCAACGCTTAGAAAAAATTTTGCCAATTTTGATTGAGAACGGTATTCGTTGCAAACAAAAAAATGTGAATTTTTAGTGGAAAAACTGGAATATTTAGGTAGAACAATTAGTGCAAATGGTATTTTACCTGATGAAAAAGGTGTTCAGGCTGTAAAAAAGTTGCCACGCCCAACAAACATTAAAGAAGTCGAAGCATTTCTGGGTAAAGTGAATTATTACCATAACTTTATTCCAAATTTTTCGCAATTGGCCGCGCCTATCAATCATTTACGTCGGAAGAACATCAAATTTGTTTGGGGCACTAAGCAGGAACAAGCATTTGAAGCTTTAAAACGACACATAATAGACGCAACCGAATTATCACATTTTCAAGAACATCTACCATTAGTGTTAGCTACTGACGCCTCATCATATGGAATTGGAGCTGTCCTTGCTCATCGAAATCCAGACGGCACAGAGCGCCCTATTGCTTTCGCATCAAAAACGCTGAACACTCATCAAGTTCGATACAGCCAAATCGAAAAAGAGGCACTTTCGATAATATTTGGAGTTACTCGTTTCCATCAGTACTTATTTGGTCATAAGTTTATTCTGGTTACGGACCATAAACCTTTAGTAAGCATCTTCAGTCCAAACAAAAATTTGCCATCAATGTCTACACATCGGTTGCAACGTTGGGCAATAACATTGATGTCTTATCAGTTTGAGATACAGTTTCGTAGAACTGCCGATCACTCAAATGCCGATGCCTTATCACGCCTGCCTTGTGGACCAGATCCTGAGTTCGACAGGTTGGAGCATTGTTATCAAATAGAAAATTATGACACACTTATCAACGTCGGATTGCTACAACAGCACTACAAAGACGATTACATACTAAAACGTGTAAAAAATTTCATTTCGGAAGGGTGGCGGACAAAATTAGCTGATGGCGACTTGGATTTGCTTCCTTATTTTCGTCGTAAGTATGCTCTTTTCATTCGAGATGATTTGATTTATTTACAGACAGATGCTACTCGAGTCATTGTACCTCAATCCTTGCATCAGTCAGTTTTAAAGCTTCTCCATGACGGCCATTGGGGCATCGTTAAGATGAAGCAACTCGCTAGGCAACCCTGCTGGTGGCCTAATATTGACAACGACATCGAAAAACTTGCTTCACAATGCAGTGTTTGTCAAATTGCGGGTGCAAGTCCGAAACAAAAATACCATGAGTGGCCAGAGCCAGAACGACCATGGCAACGAGTACACATAGATTTTGCTGGCCCAGTGTTCCAGTCTATGTGGCTAATAGTAGTTGACGCTTTCTCACAGTTTCCATTTGTGGTACAGCTTAAAACTATCACCACTATTGACACCATAGCAGCTTTGTCAGCAGTTTTTTCATTAGAAGGACTACCTGAAACTATAGTTAGTGACAATGGACCTCAGCTAACTTCCGACCAGTCCGCTGAATATTGTGCTCGTAATGGCATAAGTCATGTTAAAACAGCACCATTTCACCCAGCATCAAATGGGCTCGCGGAAAGGTTCGTACGTACATTCAAATCATCCGTTCAAAAGAATATTGATGATGGGTTATCGATTAAATTGGCTTTGGTAAAGTATCTAGCGACATACCGAGCTATTCCTAATGCCGAAGGGAAGTCACCGGCAGAATTGTTACATGGGCGTGCGCCACGTACTTTGCTTACACTGTTATCAGCACCACCAAACAACAATAAACCCGTCACTCGTTCAACTAAATTTTCGCCTAACGAAAACGTGTATATTAAACATTATGGTCGAGGTCCGAAGTGGGTGGAAGCAGTCATTATTAAAAACTTAGGCTGCATGGTTTATATTGTGAAAACGTCCAACGGTTACGTGAGACGTCATCAAAATCAAATAAAACACCGTTCATCAACGTCAGCAGAAAACAACAGCAAATCTGATTGGTATATATTGCCAACACCTGTTAGTAAGCAGGAGGATAACAACAACACTAATCACACTAACACTGAAGAGCGTTCTCAGATGACTGAACAGATACCACGTCGAAGCGCTCGTACTCGAGCTCAACCGAATCGTTATCAACCTATTTAAAACTTTTATATATCTTTATACCTTATACATAGAACATATTTTTTGAATATATTACTTGAATATATATATTAAATATATTATTTGAATATTATATAATATACATACCTTTAAACCTTATATATAGAACATATATTTCGAATATATTACAATTTTAAGGGGCGAGATGTCATATTCAACAATATTAATAATTATTTTAAATATATAAAGTTGGAAACTCTAGCCTGTAAGTAGTTTAAGTAAATATTGTATAATGTAAAATAATAAAGTTAGTTGATTAAGATAACTCAAACAAAACACTCGTATTACAAACAAAACAAAATTATTGTTATTATTATTTCAATTCTTAAAAATAATAAGTTATGAGTACACCATGTACTTCTTTTAATTAAACCCAGCTAATATTCTTAAATACTTTAATATTTATTAATAAATATATTTTATAAATATGATGGTATATTAAAAATTTTTCAATATTTATAAAATAATTTTTTACTAAATTGCATATAAAAATATTCCTACTTAAAAAATTCATATAAATCTAATCATACAGTAATGTATGTAAACGAATAATACCCCAGTAGAAAAAGTGGTCTTCGAAGACATTGTCTTCAAGACGGTCTTTGATACCGCGTCCGCATTTTCAAGCAAATTTGTAAAACAATTGCTCAAAACATGAATATAAATACTCTTTCTTTGCTTTCTCTCTCATTTTTAGTGTTCATAGCAACGTATTTGAAATTTGCCTCAGATGACGCTGTTTTATAAATGAAGTGACGCAATAATTTTGAAGTGTAGTAAATAAACATTTGTGAAATAAATATTAAAAAAATCAAAATGAATAAAGAAACAAAATCATTAAACTATGAAATATTAAAAAAAAGAAATTAAATCAAAACAAATTAAATATTGACTTAGTTCCTGGAAAATATATTGATATTAATATTGAAGACAATAATTCCAGTGAAAGTTGTTTAAGAAACGAAACAAAGGATGTTGAAAATAAAAAACTGAAAACACTTGTGAAAAATTAGCTGTTATATTTTAAAAAACACAGGATTAAACAGGCGTTGTAGTAATGATATTTTAGAACTCTTAAGATCAGAAGGTTTAATTGTACTAAAATCCTCTTCAACGCTTTTGAAAACAATTGATAATAGCGAAATGCTATAAATTATTTTATATTAGTTTTAGTTAATTTTAGATATGCTAAGTTATATTAAGTTAATTATTTAAATTTATATTCATTATGTTTAATTTAATTTATTATTACTGTCTTAATAAAATTTATAATAATTTATAATAAAATTTATAATTTACTTCTAAAGCTTTTAATTTTGAATGTAATGTAAAAAATTATTATATAAAATAAATAAAAGAACAAAATACAACAATTTCTTTCCACTTATTTAAAGAGAAAATTGAAATTTATTTAAAATTTAAAGAGCGCAATAAAAGAGTAGAAATAAAAAAAAGGGTGAAAAAATTATATGAGCACTGCACTAAGAGCGCACAATTTTCTGTCGAATGCGTCCGTTATGCAAGACATGGTCTTCGAGACGGTCTTCGAGACATGTACGCAAAAATTCATTGAAGACATTTGGCTAATTTGTATGAAAGTGTCTTCAAAGACCGTCATACATTTGGATCGATCGGTCTTCATGTATGTATCCATGTCTTGAAGACGTCTTCGATGACGGATCGATCCGTTTTCTACTGGGACGCATCATTCACCACATACATTTGAAGTGAATGCGCGTGCACCCTCACCCATCAACAGATTTATCGCTACTGATCAGTTAGAAATGCATGCAAACTAAAAGTACGTACCATTCATCACATAAATTTACAGCGAATGCGCATACATCCTCCCCCATCAATAAATTGTTCAGCACTAAATTTAAAAAATTTGCCTATGTAGAGAAATATAATTCATCATTCACCACTTGAGTGTTGCCGTATAAAAAAGTAAATTGGTAGTAGCTTTGGTCTTTCTTATTAATTACACATCATAACAGCATTTAATAATATTATTTCAAAATTATTTTAGAAATAATATTTTATAGACTCAAAAAATATTTAAGAAAATATAAATTATTATATAAGACATATTCAAAACTGTTTTTGTTATTTTATAAAAAAATTCGCTTCTACAAAAGTTTGTTGCCGAACATAATAAATCAAAATACTTTAAAATTTATATGAAGAAATTAAATAAAATTATGAATTTGCTAAATACATATTACATGATCAAGCAAACTAAATTGATTAAAATTGACTGATTTAAATGTTTATATAATAATTTATATATTTATTTATCATATATTTATGTTGTTACAATATATATTTTGTTAACGTGATGTGATATTATTAACCAAATAAGGTACGCACAACTTTTTTATATTATTAAAAGGAAAGCATATGATAAGCAAGTAGTAAGAAATTAATATACTGCAACCCCAAAAGAGAGAAATTTGATGTTATCGTGGTAAAATCACATGTATTCCATACGTGTGCCAAAATATAATAAATTTCTCTTCGTTTCGATGGAAGTGGGCGGAGTTTCCGTTCTTGTAAAAGTATTCTTTGATTAAAAGTAAGAAATTATAATTTGGTGTTGCCACAGTGTAACTTTCAAGTATTAAATATAAATACGTAAAAAAATTTTATTTACTTTTTCTCTTATCAAAATAAAATAAACTTATATAAAAATAAATAAATTTCCTTATTTATAAATTTAAATTTAAAAAAAAAAATTAAAATGTAATTGAATAAACTAACTGATAATATATAATATTCTAAATCCGTTGTATGACCGATTGCGGAGGAGTTGTACGTCGGCAATCTTTAATAAGTGAAAATGTCCTAAATGGCTATATAACACTAAACACAGATGACACTAATATAATAAACCATTCCCCAAACAAACCTTTAAAAAATTAAAACAAGTATAACAAAAATAGCTAGCGAAATTGCCATCGCTAATAAAATTAAATTAATAAATAATAAAAACGAAAAGTTAAAACATAGTTCCCCAAACCAACATGCAACAATACAAATCAATACACGCAAAGAAACTAACACGAACACGTTACAGGCATCAAGCAATGCGACTTCGGGTCAACTAAAAGATAAAACATATAAATCAGTTCAGGTAAAAAATATACAACAACAAATTCTACAACTTCAACAACAGCTTCAAAAATTGTATAATGATGAAAAACATAACCTCCTCCAAGACAAAGGTTCGAATCAAGCTTCAGCCACCAGAAACGCTACCTCTGTTAACGACACTTGGACAGTAGTTAATATTCGTAAAGGTCAACGCGATAGTCCAAGTAAAAATCATATAGCAAGTCAAAAACAAACCAAGCTAGACTCATACTGGCTAAATGGACCCATTAAATCAAACTGATACGCAGATCTACAGGTAGATGACTCTGAAGAAACTGAAGAATTGTTAAAAAATAACGATACAGTTCCAAAAATACTGAAACTTCCACCTATATTTATTGGTAAGGTACATTGCATCAAACCTCTAATAGATGTATTAAACGAATATGCGGCTAATCAATACAACTTAAAAGTGCTAAATTCAAGTCAAGTAAGAGTTCAACCTTCTGACTCATACGTAAGCATTGTAAAACAGTTGGAACTCAAAAACACTGAACTTTTCACTTACAAAGCAAAAACCGAGAGAAGCTTTAGGGTTATATTAAAAAATTTGCATCATTCAACCGATATTGATGAAATCAAAAATGCACTGTTGGAGCAAGAACATACGGCTGTAAACGTTTGGAACATTAAGCGTAGAGGGTCAGGTGAACCCCTTCCCATGTTTATAATTGAACTTGCATCAAACCTAAACAATAAGGATATTTATTTGGTTAAGAAACTCTTATATACTACAGTTACATTCGAACCACCTCACCCGAAACGTGAAATTCCTCAATGTGCAGACTGCCAGCAGTATGGGCACACGAAAGAATACTGTCACCGCAAACCCAAATGCATCAAGTGCGCTGGAAATCATGCATCTGTAAATTGCGAGAGGAAAAGCAGATCAAATGATGTCAAATGTGTTTTATGTGAGGGAAATCATCCAGCCAACTACAAAGGATGTCAAATATACAAAAACCTGCAAAAAAAATGTGTCCCCAATTAAGACCTAGTGCGCCGGAAGTGCAAATTCAAGAAAATCCTCTTCCTTCTCTAAACAAAAATCACATCACGAATTCTCATTTATCTCAAACATTCGCACAATTATGTGAAGTCAGACACCAGTAGCGCAACAGAGGAAAAGCTATTACCAATTCCGAATAATTTTGTGGAAGAATTCCGTGAGATGACATCGCTATTGAAGCAAATGATGCAACAAATCGTAGTAATAACAAATTTACTGATCAACTTGACGACTAAACAAGATTCTTGATTTAGTAGTAGTCATATGGAACGCTAATGGTCTATCAAAACATGCTGTCGAAATAAAAGCATTCTTAAAAATAAACCAGGTCGACATAATGATGGTATCAGAAACCCATTTTACGATGCGTAGTTTCTTTAAAATTCCGAACTATGAACTTTATCACACAATGCATCCCAGTGGTAAAGGAAATGGAGGCTCTGCGGTCCTCATAAGGAAATCGATAAAACATTATGAAGTAAAACCATATTGCACGAATGAAATTCAGGCAACAAACATTATAGTACAAACTAAAGAAGGCGACATGACTTTCTCATTACTCTACAGCCTACCGCGCCACAGTATCTCGAAGGATATGTACATATCATTTTTTCAGCTGCTTGGATCTAGGTTCCTAGTAGGCGGAGATTTTAATGCTAAACACTTAAAATGGGGTTCCCGCCTAATATCTCCAAAAGGACGACAACTTTTCGAAGCAATAAATGTACTCAATCCACACACAACCTCAACAGGTGAACCCGCATACTGGCCAACGGATAGAAGAAAAATACCTGACTTAATTGATTTTGCGATATCAAAG